TTACCTCCTTTATCATCTCTCTCTCTCTCACTCTCTCCCTCTCTCTCTCTCTCTCTCTCTCTCTCACTCTCTCTCTCTCCCTCTCCCCCCTCTCTCTTTCTCTCTCCCTCTCTCTATCCCTCTCCCCCCTCTTTCTCTCTTGTTTACAGTCAGGTACCAGATAGTGTGTATACACTTAGTGGCTAACAGTTATACCACCTCTAGGTCTTAGCCCATCCCCAATGTATCAACTAGAACAATCTTTTGAGGCTTCAAATGAAATAAAATATTATTATATACTTGTACATGAGCAGTACATGTACTTTTCATGTACTGTACATGTATTGTGTACATGTGTTAATTGTACATGCACTTATTTTGTGTGTTGATTGTGTAATGTTATGTGAGTTTGGTGACTGCTAGTGTATACATGTAGATTGACAGTTCTTAATTATTTGTATTATGTACATGTACATGTATGTGTGTGTGTCTAGTACCTGCAGTTCACAAGACTAATTATGTGTGTACTCAGGAAGAAGCTCTGTTTGTGGTCTATGATGTTATAGTAATTGCTGGATATTAGTGTGAGACTTATTGGAGAAGAGAGTTTAGAAAAAAGAATATGATAGTAATAGAGATTGAGAAGGAAAGAGAGAGAGAAGGGAGAGAAGAGATAGGGGAGAGAGGGAGAGAGAGACAGAGAGACAGAGAGAGTAGGAAACAAGAGTTGTAAATGTACATGTACAACATATACATGATTGTGGCATTATTATTAGTGGGTGACTATTGTATGCATTCTTCCTAGTATGAGATCTGTTGTTGTTAGTAGGTGTATGGAGTGTACGTGTAGTTCAATTTGTAAATAGTAAATGAGCCGGCAGAGTTGTGAGTGAACAAGATATAGAGTGAATGTGTGTGAGTGAGTAGATGTACAGTGAGTATTCTGACTTGCATTATTTCTACTATGCATTATACTCATGTTTTTAATTGGTTTCTATCTCCTTCTCTCTCTCTCTCTCTCTCTCTCTCTCTCTCTCTCTCTCTCTCTCTTCCTCTCTCTCTTCCTCTCTCTCTCTCTCTTCCTCTCTCTCTCTCTCTCTCCCTGTAGCATCTCTCACAGCAGCAAACTGCACTATCAGAAATGATAAAGATCATTAAAACTGACTATGCTGATTTGAAACTGATAGAAGAAGGCCTTAAAGACTTGTCTGCTTCACTTGTAGCTCAATGACTTCATTAGTAACATTTTATACAATAAAAAATTATTATCTGTACACCAATAGATACATGTACATTCAAATAAGATGCTTTCAGCCTTTTACAAGCATCATGTGTTAATGACAATGTGAATGTATGGAGAATTATAGCTTAAGGTATGCTGGTACATGTATGTGGTAGTGTAATTAGCTGACATTGAAATCATTGGAAGTAAAGGATAGAGAGAGAGAGAGAGATAGGACAACTTTTTCTTTTTACAATCATCTTGTTTATCTATAATCTCTGATTGCTATGATATGCATATTATGAAAGAATAGTACTTGTGGGTATTTTTGTATTTTGTGTATGTCCTCCAATAAATTCCACTATTCTTTTCATTGAAAATGAATCTGCACTCATTCTCTGGCTAAATTCTCTGTCTTCTTCTTATAGCTCTCATATAAATATTAGTGACAGAATTTCCTGAATAAGAAGACATATACAGGAACAGGGCAGCCCTATACTGGACAGATAGAGTGGAGTGAGATTGGGAAAACTTAACCTTTGGTGGGCTAGTTGTTGGTTAGCAGTCGTATGGCCCCTTTAAGTGCTTTTTATTGATCTCTTACCTCAAGTGTGTTATTAAAAACAGCATCATTGGATAGTCTATGAGCGCTGATCGTGATAACTGTAGGCTGCAGTTGTTGTAATTACAAGCTCAAATTGAGCAACAGTGTATAATAATAGACTAGCTTACATTTGTTGTCCTTTTTCTTATTACATTGATATGATGTGAGATAGTACTTATATTATATTTCCTGATAACCTTCATGCTGTTTGGCTATAGTGGATTAGGATTAAGATCCATCATGCACGCATAGGCTTGCAAATTATTCTGTATCTATACATCAGTGATAACTTCCAGGACATTAATTTTACATTGGAAGATCTATTAGTGCTTAATAGATATTACAATATGCCCACGATTTAGTTGAAGTCTAGAATGTTCTTGCATGTACTGCAGTTCAGCCGTATTTTCGCATTATTAAGTAGTACTAGTTCTATTAATTTCAAGTTACAAAAAATAGTGATGACAAAACTATAAAATATATTGATCATAGAAATAGTAAAAAGAATGAATTGTACTTTATAAAGAGAGCTAGAGAGAGGGGGAGAAAGGTGCATGTGTATTATGTCACAATGATGTCTGCATCATTTTCTGATGTCTTTAAAAATAAATAACACAATGAATCTCTGTTTAGGTGTGCGTGTTCACATGAAGCAGTGAGTCAGTTCAAAAACGTTAAAAAATTATAAAACTGTTAGTCTGTGATTATAAATATGAAATATAGGGTGGTCAGTATAATGTCCCATCATGTACTGTCTATACTGGTACGTGTTAGCTACTTTGTGTCAGTCTGGCTCTGAGCTTTGCGTTGTGGTCCATGTCCCTGTATTGTTGTCCTGTCAGTGGTTTCTGTTGTAGACCTGAAGTTTCGCTGTGTGTCTGTCGTGTTTGTGTAGTGTATCGTTTATTAAAGAAGACAGAAATAGAAGTAAAGACTTGTAAAGATGGGTGAACGTCACAGTGTGGCCTACACTTGTGTGACTGCTGCGAAATGAAAATGTCAAAATCGAAAAATAGTGTTATCTCTACATTATATATATATATTTCACCATTGCGGCGTCATGACACCAGAACATACAGGAGGAGAGGAGGAAGAAAGAGGTGAGTGATTATTAGAAAAAGTCATTGTAGTAGGGGAGGGGAACACGAACTGGTTCTGAGTGTTCCAAGGTGTGGGGTAAGCGCTCATCGATGAGGAGGGAAGCTGGTTTGGATGATGGAGGACGAAAGGTTTATTTTGAAACATGTGAGCTGAGGGAGATGTCCCAGCCGATTTTGGGGTCATGAGGACAGAGCTACCTGGAGAAAGATTTGTTGGTAGAGTAGCTGCAAAGTTGTGAGGCATCATTCCATGCATGTGGGGAATTCCACCACCTCCTGCCATCATGCTGACACCCCGTCCACTCATTATGTCTCCCATGGCGAGCTGGCTTGCCTTCTGAGCACGACGCCATTTAGCTCTTCTGTTTTGAAACCAAACCTGAGAAAGAGAGAGAGAGAGAGGGAAGGTAAAATGAGAAGAGTGTAGTATCTGTGCATGTTTTGCAGTGCCTAACAGGATATCATATTACACTCTTTGCAGTAATAAGCAAGCCCTTTGTTTACAAACTCCCCTTGTAGTGTTAAGTAGCTGATAAGGACTGGACACTTACACTTAGTGGCTCAAGTAGTGGGCAAGTACAAACATTAAGTGCTTTAACTTAATTACTATTGATAATACTCTCTGCATACCTGTACACGAGCTTCTGTGAGGTTTATTCTCAGTGCTAAATCCTCTCTCATGAAGACGTCCGGGTAATGCGTCTTTGCGAAAGCTGCCTCCAGCTCCTGGAGCTGATAGCTGGTGAATGTGGTCCTGAAGCGTCTCTGCTGTCTCTTGCTGCTGCTTGAGGACTTGCTGCTCCCTCTCTCTGTATCTGAGCCACCGTCCTCGCTCTTGACGCTGGAAGACCCTGGGGACTCGATCCCGTTCTCAAGTTTTGGGCTGTCAGACCCGGCAACAAGGAGACCTCCATTGATGTTAGCTATGGCAGCAGGTGGAGTTCCCTCGAGCTCAGGGGGAGAATGCTTTTGCATCATTGCTACAGGCATGGTGTTATTGTAGCGTAGAACTTCCAGTTTTACTGTATATGAAAAGGAGAGATTTCAGAAGTGCTTTTGCTTTATCTCAGAGTTGCTTTTTGCAAGGCCACAACGAGCTACAGCTCTCAACCTCCAGGCTGGAGCTTATTTATAGGATCAGTTTATTAATTAATAATAATTCAATTTATAGTAATAATCATTACAAAGTATGAATATCATTATGGACAGTGTATTGATAGGGGTTCGCTGCTTCTTTGGGACCTCTTTCCCTCCTCCTCAGTCTTGCCCCTTCTCCAGTCTCCTTTAGCACTAACATGTCCTGATATCCTCTCAGTCAGTGTCAGCTGACTTAGGGTTCTTCTCCGTCTATTTTTGTTTGTTCCGGTCACATTAGGAGTACCATTCAATGTCACAGGAAGACCCTAATTCAGTTTTATATAATCAAACAAGAAAATTAGAAAACAAGAATTAAACTATTGCACTATGCCAGACAGGCCCTGTAATAAACTTAGCAAAAGTTGAGGTCACGCTCTACAGCAGGGACTGCTATGCAGCAATAGACCGGTGCTTTTTCAAGTTAAGAGACTGATACCTATTTTTAGCAAAATTGTTCCCACTTCCTGTTCTTGTTCACACTTACAGTCACACTACAAGGTGTTAACAAGGTGGCAAAAAACAATATAACAAGCAAGTTTAAAAGATTTTAAATTTTGATTTTAATCAACTCAAAGGCTTTCTGGATATAAGTATCAAAAAAATGTAATTAAAAATTCCAAAACTTGATCGGAATCAGCTCAAACTTTCTACACAACATAAAAACTTGTATATGCATTCAAAAAAATATAAAAATTGAGAATTGTCTCCTTTTCAATTTTGACAAAATACCTATAGTACTGAAGTTTTGGTCAAATTTTAAAGCAATTTTTTTGGCAAAATTTCAGTAATGTCTTCAGAATTTCAATTTTTGATGCATTATCTTTCACAACATTCAAAAACATGAGTGAGTTAACACTAATATAATAATATAAAAAACACAGGATACAGAAACAGTATTAAGATACTGCAGTATATTTGCATGCTATGTAGTCCATGCTGAAAGTGCTGACTATACCAATCAAGTGTAAACTACTTAATTACTAAATGTCATGAATGCGAACCACATGATGCAAAACTATGTGAACACTGCTCCAATAATGCTACTAAGGCTTGCATGAATCATGAATCTATTCACATAAGATAGTATTTAGAGTTGAAGTAGGAAAAAATACAAGTGTATAAGTACCATCTGCACTGTGTTGTGTACATAAAAGCATGCAAGCATCAAGTGGTCTGACACAATAAATGGCATGGAATGGACTTGACTGATTTCTTTTCCTAAATTAAGTTCAATTAGATATAACTGCATGTCCCCTAATGCAATAGGCAAGACCAATTGTTGGCCCATCAATAAGAGGAATAAACTACTGTAAATCCATTAATAATAAATACCATCCATAAATTTTAAAATATATTAGCCTTTGGCCTATAATTTCGTTAAAGTTAATGGACGTAAATATGTCAATGTGGATTTGGTTACCTTAGTGGTAAAAAATCCTTAAATGAATGGACATTAATATAGCCACCATTTTGCAAAAAATTAAACAAAAATGTCACTAAATTATTTGATCAATGACTGCCTTTCAATCTCCATTCTTTATCAAATGCAACACAAACTCATCATCCATCAATAAAAAGACACTTCTAAGCAGAGCAGAACCATCAGCTATGCAACTTCAGGCTGGCCAGTGTTTTGAAAGCATTTTTAATACTTCACTTAAAAGTGTCTAATTAATATCTATCTTCTTGCAAGCATGAACACACACAGCCACAGTTAGCATTACTATGGCTCCTTGTGGGCGAAGGCTCTAGTAAGCATTTCTCTTGATTCAGTGATGCTATCAGTAATGCTTGTATGGCCTATAATAGTAAAGAACAACACAGTACTTTTTACTTACATCAATGGCAGTAAGAGATTCTGTTAGTTTTCTACCGTGCACTTTAATCAAATGACGCGTCAAAGAATTCTAGAATCAATAAAGAGAGAGAGAGAGAGAGAGAGAGAATGTTAAAATAACAGGATGCAATAATTAAACTTGTCAATATGACACAAGTGCAATAATAGGCTAGTGTGAAATACCCATCCTACACTTTCTCGTCACTTAATCGAACTTTCTCTTAAAGGCAAACACAAGCTAGACCTAGAAGGACTGTTACTACACACAGGAAACAACTCTACTGCAAAGAAGGACCAAGGCTCTCCATATCATTCTAATGAGTAAATCATAAATACACCTACTACATGTCCCCTTGTGTAGAAACCTTATAAACAGCGTCACAGGACTATCATGGCATCTATTATCAGTCCTGTCGCTTAGTAAGATTACCATGCAAAGTCTGCATGAACTGGCACATGCAACATTTACACACATACACACACCCACTCCTTATTGGTATGAAACAAAAGGCCATGACTAGTAAGAATTCCCTCCGAGGTAGGACATAACTTAATCCACTGCATAGCTCTCCAGGACCAACTTGGGACAAAAACAAGATGAATAATAATCAAGAGACCATATAGAGTGACGAATCATTGAATATTAGTTGATATTAGTAATTATTAGCTTATTAAAAGAACATCAACAGAAGGAAAACATATTACGTGTAAACAGACAGGCAAAGTAGGAAAAGAATAATGCCACCCAACTGGTGAATACCTGGTAATTAATAGTAATTTCATGCCCTTCTCATCAAAATGTGCATCTGTCACGCACTCCATTATTAGACATCTTATATCAGTGCTGACAATGAGCACTTAATAAAGGAGATATTTCATCTTGTATGACATTTATATGCTTTATTTGCAAGCTTTTAGTGTATGCAGTGTAGCCTCTATATAACGGACACTTGTGGCTAAAAAAGTGTCTCTGTTATACAGAGGTGTCCTTTATGTGGAGGTTATTTTATACAGTAAGGAATGTAATTGGTACACTAGGTGCTGTCCGTTAAATGGAGGTGTACACTATAGAGAGTGTCCATTAAGAGAGACTATGTATATACACATATGTAGCATGCACTGAAATTGCACAGTATGCAATACCTATAATTATGACAAATGTATATACACATCTACTTGTAAGGTTTTATTCATAAAGATGAGCCACTCCTTAAGCTTCAAATATGCTGCAACAGGATCTACACACAAGTATATGTATATATACAATCCACACACTGGCCTTTGTCCCTTTTTGGGCAAAGAAGTAAACCAACACTTGCAATATGTGACATACATTACTAGCCTCAGTAGGCAAGTATGTGAACAATGAGAATGCTCCACTTCATCCGGTGTGCATTGGATAATATCATAGATATACATGTATATCTGAGAGCTACATAATATGCACAATATGCACAATAGGTGAAGAATGTGTGGCTGATAGCAGTGTGTGTAATTAAACTCATGCATCTCTTCAGTTGACCTATAACTGGATTAGCTCTTTGTGAAGTGTTGGCTAAACAGAGGATTAGGGATCGTTTGAGGGAAACAATAAAATACTTGGTAATTAGAAGATGTTACTTTATGGGCAAACTCGGCACTGCAGCCAGACTGCCTGCAGGCAAAAGGCTTTAGATTCTCGTGGAATGAAGATACGTGTTGCTGTAGGTTGAATTTCTAAAGGAGAGAGAGAGAGGGAGAGAGAGGAGTTGTAGGTAGAGAGAGGAAATGGAGGGAAAAGAGAAGGAAGGAGAAAGATTATGGTAAAGGGAAAAAGAAAGGAAGAGGGGGGAGAGAAAATATTATATAATATAATTATTAAAACAACAACAATAATAATAACAATAATAATAATAATAATCATAATAAGCATTAAGGTTTAGAGTATAATTAGCTTGTGACCAAATTCAATTTAGTTCACCAAAGCATTACACAGCATAGTGTACACCTCCATTTAACGGACAGCACCTAGTGTACAATTACATTCCTTACTGTATAAAATAACCTCCACATAAAGGACACCTCTGTATAACAGAGACACTTCCTGCTCCATAAGTGTCCATTATATAGAGGCTACACTGCATACACGCACATGTAGCTCAAGACACTTTAGGTAACTTTATTTCACAGACTAAACTACATGTACATGTACAATACAATGACTTTTGAAGCTAGTAACACTATAATGTATTACGCAAGCAAGCAAGCAAATGCTGCAAAGTACATTACGGCTTCTCATATTTCATTTATAAAATAATTCTATTGGTTTATTTTATTTACTATACAATTGAGGCTAATGGACGGCACTACACATCAAGCCAAGAACTCAAAAGGACCACTAACAGAGTGTGTTGTCTATACCTTTACCAAGTTGTAGCGCCTCAGGGCAAGTTCAATGGCAGTTGTTTGGACTATAGAATTTATTATTATCTCCAAATGGGGTCCTATACTGCTCTCGCTCTCACTCTCTCTCTCCCTCCCTCTCTCTCTGTTTTACTGGTGAATGAACTCCAATTAGTTCCATTAGTAGTAATATGTACAAACGCCGCATTACACAATAAACCAATAATTAAAATAAATCAGAGCACAATTAAAAATAATAACGAAGTAATTAAAAGCAACCCAGTCAAGCAAAACACCACAAAAACAACCTCATTAAAAACTAATTCCAATCAGGCCTGTGGCCATTGAGAGTGGGAGAGAGAGAGGGAGAGAGAGAGAGGAAGAGAGAGAGAGAGGGAGAGAGGGGGGAGACAGAAACAGAAGCCCTTAACATGACGACTTTCCTAGTCACGAGACATAGAAGAATGTACGAAGGCTGAGAGAAGCATAAGGGAAAGAATTTAAAAATAACAACATATCCAATGACATGTTTTCTAACTACCCATAAAACTTCTAAAGCAATCCTTGGCAATACCAGTCAGCACTCTAAGACTTCACATGACACTACATGAACTTATACATGTCAGTACATGCACTCTAAGTATTACAATTATATGTGGATGCATTAGGTGCAGTTATACACGAATTAATATGTACATGTAATACAATACATGTGCATGTACACTGCCGGAAATGTACACTAAGCCATTGGAGTGCTGTTATAGTTTCATGTATATCAATGACTCAAATATGCCTTACATGTATAAGGCTGCACTATACATGTATACATGCAAATACATGTACATCACGTATACATGTACATGTATGTGTATGTTTGTGCAAAGTGAAGGCGTCCCTGAAGGTCTTCACATCGCTCCATTCAGGGAAAGGATCGTTCTCCTACGCGTAGTTTCAAGTTACATGCTTCGCATTTCAAGACGTTAAAAGGTGCCATACATGTATATGCATGTACATATATGTAAAGTTCACGGGTTTGTATGTGCATGATGTATTACTGCCCCAGGTGGAGCAGTATTGGGATTATTTTTTAATAAAGGTGTGTTACTAACAGTCACAACATTATAATGAGGCAGGTATTAGCTTTAATGATTAGCGATTAGAGTGTAACCTCTGTTATACAGAGGTGTCCTTTATGTGGAGGTTATTTTATACAGTAAGGAATGTAATTGGTACACTAGGTGCTGTCCGTTAAATGGAGGTGTACGCTATAAAGAGTGTCCATTAAGAGAGACTATACTGTAAACTCTATATTAGGGACACCTTTATAATGAGGACAATAATTGGTACAAACTTCTGTATTAAGGGCAGGTAGTGTGGGCTCATTGGTGTCCTTAATAAAGAGGCTACACTGTACATGTATTAAGGACAGGTAGTGTGGGCCCAATGGTGCCTTTAATAAAGAGGCTACACTGTACATGTATTAAGGACAGGTAGTGTGGGCCCAATGGTGTCCTTAATAAAGAGGCTACACTGTACATGTATTAAGGACGGGTAGTGTGGGCCCAATGGTGTCCTTAATAAAGAGGCTACACTGTACATGTATTAAGGACGGGTAGTGTGGGCCCAATGGTGTCCTTAATAAAGAGGCTACACTGTACATGTATTAAGGACGGGTAGTGTGGGCCCAATGGTGTCCTTAATAAAGAGGCTATACTAGTTCATAATGGTAAATGACTAAGTCTTACTGTGGTATATGCTCTGGAGCAATCAGTGTATGGGCACTGGAAGAGCTCTTTTGAAGTGATGCTGTGAGATTCAATGTGCTTATGTAATTGCTAGAGAGAGGGGGAGGGGGAGAGAGAGAGATATCAAATTAATAAAAATCATAATAATAATTAGTTTTATAATTATAATGAGGGAAACTTTAAAATGTGAAGGAAAGAGAGAAAGAAGGCATACACAAGCACACACACAGTGAGCCAATAAAAGCCACTAAAATTAAAGACATAGAGTGAGTGGTTTTACTATTACTTAAACCCAATGCAAACACTGTGGCGGTTGTATAGTGCTGAAACCAGTCAAAGTCTCAGTTCATGTTAACCATAGACTCATAATGAGTGTCATTAGTGTGAAGGAAAAGATTGTTGGACCTGATGGCATTAGAAAATAAACAAAATGAAAGAGGAAGAGGCTTGGAATGCGATTAGTAAAGAAGTTTGACAAGTTTTTAAGTATAAGTAGAAAGAAGCAATAGTGGAGCTAAGCTTTCAGGAAGAGGATTATTACTGAGAAATTCAAGAGGTGTTTAACAGCATAGGGAGAGCTGCATTATAACATGCACATATTATCAAGAGTATATAATACTTAAAGTGGTCAAGCATGTGGCAACATTTTCTAGCCCTCAGCTTTAAAAACTTGGCAAGCTTAAAGAAGACTGGAAAGATGAACTACAAAGACAGCCCTGCTAGTATCCACGAGTTTGTACCACTAGCACTTGCCAACTCGCCACAATCGCAACTCAACTGTCTACAGGATAATTATATTCATTGACAAAGTATACTGGAGTATACAAATTGTGACTTTGAGCAAATACGCCCGCATGCATCAGTCTGCTATAGGGCAGTTGGATACTCTCTTTAAGTATCATGTACTCTGAATGTATACATAAAGAAACAATGTAACACGTAGTACATAATGTGAATGGACACATGTGAATATGGATGTGTACAATGTACTGTGAATGTTCAAATTTTCAAAGTTTTTTCAATGAAATTTGCTCAAAAGTTAATATTCGTGTGAGCTAATTTTCGTGTTCTGGCCATAGTCTACATACAATAGAATGGCATTAGAGGTGGTTTAAATTTCGTGGAATTAAGGTGAGCACGAAAATTAGGAAATCTATACACCTTGAAAATTAAGACGTGTACAGTACATTTAAGTCAATATGTACAGTAACACTCATGAATTAGTGGTAAGGTGTGATTTCTTTATCATTGTTGGCTTGTTGTTGGGCAGGCAATTGGCACAACTCATTTTATCACAAAATAGTGTAGCCTCTAAAGTGTCTCTGTTATACAGAGGTGTCCTTTATGTGGAGGTTATTTTATACAGTAAGGAATGTAATTGGTACACTAGGTGCTGTCCGTTAAATGGAGGTGTACGCTATAGAGTGTCCATTAAGAGAGGCTATACTGTACATGTTAACAAAAGAGATAGAGAGAAAAGATTATTACCTATTATAGAATAATCCTGAAACAAAACGTACATGTACATGTACAAAGGTAATTAGGTGACTGGCTAAGTCTAAACAATCATTACCAGAAGCATCACTGGAATGTGATAAGAACATGTTTACACTTTTAGACAAGCCATTAAGCAATAAATACAACCAAGTACAAGTATATGTACACTACACGTAGTTACATATACATAAATGTGTGTATGTGTGTGTGTGAATTCCTAAAAACAATACAAGTGGTAGGAGACTACATGTATAATGATAGTGCAGCCATTATAATCAGGACACCTCTATAATAAGGATATTCCAATTGGTACAATCCTATACAAAAGCACCTCTGAAATGAGGACACCTCTGTATCAAGGACAGGTAGTGTGGGCCCAATGGTGTCCTTAATAAAGAGGCTACACTGTACATGCATTAAGGACAGGTAGTGTGGGCCCAATGGTGTCCTTAATAAAGAGGCTACACTGTACATGCATTAAGGACAGGTAGTGTGGGCCCAATGGTGTCCTTAATAAAGAGGCTACACTGTACATGCATTAAGGACAGGTAGTGTGGGCCCAATGGTGTCCTTAATAAAGAGGCTACACTGTACATGCATTAAGGACAGGTAGTGTGGGCCCAATGGTGTCCTTAATAAAGAGGCTACACTGTACATGTATTAAGGACAGGTAGTGTGGGCCCAATGGTGTCCTTAATAAAGAGGCTACACTGTACATGTATTAAGGACAGGTAGTGTGGGCCCAATGGTGTCCCTAATAAAGAGGCTACACTGTACAAATAGTAAGAGATAGATTCAAACAATAAATGAACAATTAGTAATTGAACATTATTAATAAGCTACTGAGTGTAGTTTATACCCTAAAACTATACACATGTACGGGTACATACACTTACTATAATTGACAAATAATTGGAGTTGTATATGTACGTGTTAGTACACAAATCCTGCAATGAATAAGTGCAGTGTACAATGTATTAGTGTGTAGCAAAATGGATTAGCTGGTTCCTTAATATGTGTACATTAGTACAGCCTTTACATGTGTATATAATGGACACTTATGGAGCAGAAAGTGTCTCTGTTATACAGAGGTGTCTTTTATGTGGAGGTTATTCTATACAGTAAGGAATGTAATTGGTACACTAGGTGCTGTCTGTTAAATGGAGGTGTACGCTATAGAGAGTGTCCATTAAGAGAGGCTACACTGTACACATAAACCCCATTACTGATACAGTGTATGTATGAGTGACTGAGAGTTAGTTTTCTAGTGTTTATTGTAATGGCTCATTAAAGGAACAGGTGCTACTATCAATTCCATTTGAATTCCTTCAACGACTCACAAAACACCCAAAAATACACACACACACATGTACATGTACATCAACATACTAGCAACATATGGACTATATTACACATGTACACGTATGTAATGTATCTTACTATTAATGATCATTAAGATTCCAATCGTTTGTAATGTACAATAGAGTATTAATCAAAATAGCATCATTTACTGAGTCATTATCCCATTAAATCCTCCACTGCTGTATATAGGCTCAGTAATCTTCGTGGTATGCACATTTCCATAACGAGAATAGCATCTCAAAATACATGTACATGTACATAAACTTACTACAATATAAAATTTATGCTATATGTATTCTTAAATTTAAAAGGCACAAAATTCTGACACAATAAAAATTGACACAAAATTTAACAGACGTTCCTTACTGTATAAAATAAACTCCACATAAAGGACACCTCTGTATAACAGAGACACTTTCTTGTCCATAAGTGTCCATTATATAGAGGCTACACTGTGATAATTACAGAGAAATGGCTCATATCATAGTAATAATATTGCTTAGTTCAGCATGTTATGCAACACAGACAGTAACTTGATACACCATTAGCAAGAGCAGCAGTGAGTTGTATTGTAAAGTGGAATGAGAGAATGTAACATGTATATATACCTACTAGCAATGGCCAAAGAATGTACTTTATAAAGTTGCACAATTCTGCCACTTACAATGAACTCGCTCTTGGTAACACAACCATGATCAGATCTAACCTAATTAATCATTAGTTAGTTGACATTGTTCATCAGCCAATGGTTCACTGACAATACAGACACACGCACACAATGTGACATTATATCATCATAAAATAATTCAAATGTACATGTACAGTGTAGCCTCTATATAATGGACACTTGTGGCTAACAAAGTGTCTCTGTTATACAGAGGTGTCCTTTATGTGGAGGCTATTTTATACAGTAAGGAATGTAATTGGTACACTAGGTGCTGTCCATTAAATGGAGGTGTATGCTATAGAGAGTGTCCATTAAGAGAGGCTATACTGTACGTGTAACAATAGAACAACTCATCAGATAGAAATGATTAGGAGCTGTTTACTACAGCCGAGCTATTGTCAATGTTGAGTCCAATTAGTATATGTGGGCAGATCACGACAACAGAAAGATTATAGTGAAATTGATGTAGTACAAAGGAATAGTAAATAATAGATAATACTACTAGAGGATTGGAAATACCCAGAAAACATGATCCCAAAAGATACACAGGATCATACATGTACAACATACAAGCAAACAAATACTATCAGCATTATCAAGAGTAAATAATACCTAAAGAGAGTATCCAATGGCCCTATTGAGGCCTGCTGCATGTGACATGTGTGTGCCTGTGTGGATTTCTAGGAAGTCACGTTCCGCATACTTCAGTAGTTTTCAATCAATGTATACAGATGTGTTGTTATAACAACATTTATCATTCATAATATACAGAAGTATCCTGAACGTGACTTCCTAGAAATCCACACACTTGCAGCAGCCGAGATGGGGCCCATTGGATACTCTCTGTAGGTATTATTTACTCTTGGTATCATTAATTATTAATTAATGTGGAGATTCTGAGATAAATGTAAAGCTAGCCTAGCTGGGACACTTTCATAATCTTTATAATGAGAACTAATATCTTCATAAGAAGGGACGTTTGTACAGGGCTTCCCACTGGGTTTTGGCATAGTGCTGCTCATGGAGCATCTTGTCAGTGGATTGTCAAGTTGCTCAAAAATTGGGCCAAAAACACTGTACTATAGTACAGGGTATTGTGACAAAAATCACTAGGAGAGAATCCTCCATTTTTATAATTTTATCTGATACATATACATGTTCTTGTATTGTGTAGAAAACTAGAGCTGATTGTGATCAAGTTTGAATGTTTTATAAATTTTTAAAGTTGTTCAAAAATTGAACACAAGTCCATGTACTAAGGCTGCAAAAGTTGTGACAGCCATTTTGTTTAGGGGTGAATCCTACTTAGTAACGCTACCGCGTTACTAATTATAGTACAGGGACTTTGACAAGGAATAAAATCTCCATTTTTATAATATAAAAAAGAACTGTATTACAGATCATAATAAAACAAGTACATGTACATGCAGAATTGCAACAATGAATGATATAACTCAATAATTAAACTAAAGTTAACACTAGACTTTAAAAATAATAAGTCCTTATATAGCACCTTTAAAGACATTACCTGTTTATTTGTACTAAAGTAATTAGTTCAATTATAACACACAAATCTCATAATAGCATTACTGATCAAGCTACATGTATATTGCCTGCATTATTAGACTAAGGATAATCTAATGTACAAGTGAACTACAAAGTCTCACAGAGAGAAAGGGAGAGAGAGGGGGTCAATAACACTACTATAAAAGGTATATGCATCATGTAGAGTAGAGATACATTATACATGTAGCATGTGAATGGACATTTGTATGTGTGTGTGCGCACGTGCACAATGCATTATTATCATTGACTTAATAAGCAAATCTGCTTTTATAGTAAAAGTACACTAGACAAGTCAAGTATATGTACATGTACAGTATAGTCTCTCTTAATGGACACTCTCTATAGCGTACACCTCCATTTAACGGACAGCACCTAGTGTACCAATTACATTCCTTACTGTATAAAATAACCTCCACATAAAGGACACCTCTGTATAACAGAGACACTTTCTGCTCCATAAGTGTCCATTATATAGAGGCACCACTGTTTAATAAAAAATATAAAATTCAATGCTACACTTATGCACATACAAATTGTACATGTACATGCATTATTGGCTATTAAAGACATATAACCTTTTAAACGTTCATATATACATGTACATGTACATGTATTACGTAACATATACAAGTGTATAATAATATACATGTACATGTACATGTACATGTGAATAGGAGGCGATAGAATACCATGAACTACTATGGCGTACATGTACATGTATACATGTACATGGTTTCGCAGGTAATTGTTAAGAGGCTTAAGCCAATGAGATCATACTGGACTGCAGGCCAAAACAACCCCTAGAAGAACCATAAACAAAGCCGCCACAACAAAGAGAGAGAGGGAGGTGGAGAGATAGAGAGTGAGGTACTGCTGTGGTTTCTGTGGTAGTAGCTAGTGATTGTTTTCAGAAGAGAATGCTTAGGATGATAACGTAAAGTGAAACACTGAACTATATAGTATATACCTGTAGTGTCCATTATACAGTGAACTGTAAACAATGCCGATAGGAATACACCATGAGTCACAGTTACTGTACCTAGTGGTGATCTAATTAGGCGAGTGGGCGTTACTGGTTAAACAAGTTTTTGTGCGTACATGTACATGTACGAGGAAAGGATTCTTGAGATAAGTGGATAAGAGTAAAGAGTATTACGTAATGGAGGCTAATACTTGTGGATAAGAAAGTGTCTCTGTTATACAGAGGTGTCCTTTATGTGGAGGTTATTTTGATACAGTAAGGAATGTAATTGGTACACTAGGTGCTGTCCGTTAAATGGAGGTGTATGCTATAGAGAGTGTCCATTATTATAAGCTATAGACTACTTCTTTTGCAAAGTTTATATCTTCCAGTATCATAACACATGCAACTATCCTTGAAATGCCTACTATAGCGTACACCTCCATTTAACGGACAGCACCTAGTGTACCAATTACATTCCTAAATTACCTCTACATAAAAAGCAGCTGTACAAGAGACGAAATATCAGACATAGTACATGTGTACGTGTGCAGGTCCAGTCTAGAAATACATTATCCTTTACTTCCTAATATGCCAAAACCTTTGAATAAACAGGTAGTGGGTGTCTGAAAAGTTTAATTGTTCTAATAAGATTAATTATAAATAATTATTTTTAAATAAACACAGCCCACCCACAAGTCCAGTTTTAAAATAATTACCAATTAATTACAATAACTAATTATTAATCAAAACACTAATTAGATGAATAAAACAACAGACTCAATGCAGTGGTGCCTCTATATAATGGACACTTATGGTCAAGAAAGTGTCTCTATTATACAGAGGTGTCCTTTATGTGGAGGTTATTCTATACAGTAAGGAATGTAATTGGTACACTAGGTGCTGTCCGTTAAATGGAGGTGTACGCTATAGAGAGTGTCCGTTAAAAGTGGATATACTGTTATATTAGATTATGGATGTGATATCACATGTACATTAATTCATAATCGTGAACAGGAAACAAAAGAGTTCAGTTATATATTTTTAATCAAAACCAGCTCAAACTTTCTACAAAATAACTTGCTACTAATACTACATCCATAAAGTATAACAGCATGAGAGCATGCATCAAAAATTGTAATAGAACCAACAAATAAATAAGTCATTATAGTCCATTAATTGTCATAAAAGCAAACATTTCAGTAACAATAACAAACTAAATCATGCAATGAAAATTCTGACTTTTGGTTAAAAAAAACAAAATATACTAGTTCATAAGAATTGCACTTCAATGAAAAAAGAACATCTACAAATATATGTACATTGTACATGTACATAAGGAACAGCTGGTATACTTTTATGTAAAGACTACTCACATGTACTGATACATCACGTACTTGAATTATGTAATACTATTGCTATTCGTTCACAACAAACACTAAGATTTTGTTCCAGTGGAGTAAGAACAATAGTGTACATATCATGAACATTTATGGAGCAGAAAGTGTCTCTGTTATACAGAGGTGTCCTTTATGTGGAGGTTATTTTATACAGTAAGGAATGTAATTGGTACACTAGGTGCTGTCCGTTAAATGGAGGTGTACGCTATAGAGAGTGTCCATTAAGAGAGACTATACTGTATAAGTACATCATGTGTATACATGGATGTACGTGACAGTGACCGAGTAGCACATGTACTGTACATGATATCAAGTGTCTGTGGAGTCATAAGGAATCAATGGCGGAACAACACGAGACAGTTTAATAAAACAGAAGCCACAAGATGGAGCATTCATTTACAACTATTCACCTTTGATGTAGCAGGGACTAAACCACATATTGTACAGGCTAACTCATAACAATAATAATAATAATAATAATAATAATAATAATAATAATAATAATAATAATAATAATAATAATAATGATAATGATAGAGTAATAACAAAAATAATAATAACAACAATAATAATGATGGTAATAATAATAATAATAATAATGGTAATAATAATAATAATGGTAATAATAACAATAATGATGATGATGATGAATTGAAGATGATGAAAGTGAACATAAAAAGAAAGAAATGAGAGAGAAAAAGAAATGGAGGGGAAATGAGAGAGAGAAAATGTCAGTGACTAACTCTTTAGTTATTTTTCTTACCTTCTGATGGTTTGTGATCCTCTGACTTGTGTTTCCGTAGCAACGACCATGAGGAACAAACAACAGAGCAACCATCTTTATCACACAAATACTCTGAAAAGAGAGAGAGGGAGGGAGAGAGAGAGAGGAAGAGAGAGAGAGAGAGGAAGAGAGAGAGAGAGAGAGGAAGAGAGAGAGAGAGAGAGAGAGAGAGAGGGGGGGGGTAATATCCCTTTCACGTAGTAAACAGTTATAATAATTATCAGGAGTGAAAGAGATAAAAGACCAAGGTGTGTCATGATAAAGACTACACAGCCAAATTCATCAATAAATAAAACATCCCCTAGTATACATGTAACTCTAAAAACACATAAATACATGTACATGTACACACATTCTTTCTATATACATGTAAAACAATGTGACAATTATTATGTTAGAGTTTTGAACAAGAAAGAGATTCAAATTCTTGACTAAATATACTCGTGGATTTAAAAGGTGTCCTTTATATGGAGGTTATTTTATACAGTAAGGAATGTAATTGGTACACTAGGTGCTGTCCGTTAAATGGAGGTGTACGCTATAGAGAGTGTCCATTAAGAGAGGCTATGTAACATGTACATGTATGATAGCGTTTCATTCATAAGTAAGGATTCAAGTTCACACACTATTACATGTACATGTATAGCGCAGCCATACATGTATGTACATGTACATGTAGCGTAATGTGTAAAGACAATATTAGGATTCATTCATGCCTACACTGAGTTCTATACCATAAACTAATGGTCACTATT